AGCCTCACGAGAGGCGTTTTGAGTTGGGGTAGGTAGAGCCATAAGTGATTTGAGGTCGTAGGTTGCGCAAAGTTGGTGGGGTGGCTCACTCGCTTGCCTGGCTCACTCGCTTGCCAACCATGTTACATGGTAGGTAACCTTCTACTATGATCGAATGAGCGGGCGGAAGTATGTGTAGCAATATCAGGCTTCAAGTTACGCGCTAAGACCTATGACAAACATCCTAACAGCGAGGCTGTGGCTCGGATTGTCGCGACTGACTCTGAGTATATTGTGACGGAGTTAATCGTGAGGAAGATCGAAACTTCACGTTCACCTTTTGCACATCGATGTCTCAACAGCCAGGGCAGCTTTCGAAAAATCAGCAAAAACCCTAGACCGTGTGGTAATTCTACACAAAACAGCTTCTCCAAATTTCTTGTATGTTGAACAGCTAACGCTAACTTCTTTGACCCTATTGCCTCGTTTGTTATCGCTCCTTATAGCTCCTTACCGGAACCAGCTCAATCCTAGTGGAACACTATGTTCCACTGTGTTCCAAACACAGCGCAGTCGCTAGGAGGTAAGATCAATGAGTACCATTACTCATTGTTGAGGCGGCTGCAGACCTCGCTTAGCTCGTGCTGTTTGATTTTTTTGAGAAACGGAGAAGCTCGAAGAGCATCAGCTTGAATCTTCCAAAGTGGCGTGGCAAGATCGATAAGCTGTGGTCCAAACTCTGCCAGCATCTCGCGAACTTGATCTTCAGATACGCGGGGACAAGTCGAGAGCGCATCATCTGACTGGAACGTTGCATCCTCCCATTGTTTCTTCCATTCAACAATAGCTGATTGTATCCCTTCACTCTGCTTGTCCACCCCCATGGCCGCCATATAGAAGGAAGAAGTGATTGCATGCTTCGTTTTTGACTTGAAAAGGCGCACACTTGAGCACTTTGTGAACGTGCGGATGACCTCAGCGGTATCGAATGATTCTGGCTTGTGCATAACTAGGACCAGTGACCCTTGATTGCGTAAACGCTGAAGTGCGAAGACCAACTGACTCGTGGCCAATCGTAGCCTCTTGTGCGGCTCATGATGTTCAGCACCAGCACCCGCACGTCGAGTCGTTGCGCCCGTCGCGCCACAGAACACAAGGTCAAATGTCTCGTTCTGGAACGGTCGCTGTGAAGAAAATTTTGCGATGTCCGGGTGTTGAGTTGGTATGGATGTTGCTGGCCGTCCCATCTCGTTTGCTAGCATCGTGATATCGGCGAATTCTATACGAATCTTTAAACTGTCCCTCCATCCTGGCAGCATGACTCGCAGACCTCCCATCTCTGATGGCAACGTGATGCCCAGTATCTTGGCATCGCGATGTTTACGGAGCACAGTCTGAGCGAACCCACCCGGGGCCATGCCGATATCCAGGACTCTTGGGGACTGACCCCGATCACCTGCCGCGAGGGTAATGACTGATGTGTTCTCATCCATTTCCTGTCCGATCTCGCATGTCATCTTGAAGAAGCCTTGCAGTCGCTTCTGCGTTCTGTTGGCGTTGTCGGATTGTGCACGACGAGCTTGGAAATATCGATCGCCCTCGGAGGTATTCCAGCCCTAAAGGAATGTAAGTAGAGGCTTTGATATCCTTTCGTCTTAGATACCTTCAACCGGAGATCAATTAGTTCTTTAAAAATCTGACTGTTTTCTGCTAGATACTGTGCGATGATCACCGACACCGAGGTCTCCTCAGGTGGCAAAGTGCTGCGCATCATGGCCTCTAGGTCTAGGTTCATGGCTGGAGTGTTGCTGAATCGAAGTTTGGAAAACTAAATGGGAAACGTCTAGCGTTCGAGACCGGAGGAAGGTTATCAGAAGACGACAAAGTGATGATAGAAGAACGGACGCGCCAACTCATTCAACAGTTACACAGTATCTTGGGTGTTGTGCTTCGAACACCGTTGTCGTAAGGGCCCCGTTTTCACGTGTAGAGGTTTATATCCAGCTGCGGGGTACGCAGGAGGCTATACGACGTGAGGATCCCACGCCAAGAGACTGTGTACAGCGCATGCATGAACAACGCCTCCCTGACGTTGATAATATGAGATCAGTCAAATCAGCCTGATGCAACTGAGATCCATGTCAGTGCTCTATGGAGGGAAGTTGTCAACGGCGAGGAGTCTTTTGTGCATGCGAAAGTGGACAACAGATAGACTTGCAAGTTTTTGCGATACCGAAGCTTTTTGAGCACTATGCTGTGTGATCCTGGGTAGTGGTGTGTTTCTCATAATCATAGCGGCTAACGATTGGTTATCCGGGTGTTGAAGAGGCAACCTACTAAACTATACATGTCTGTCGGCGTGTGAGCTTGACGAATATACCCTAACAGCACTCTGAACGATGCAGGATGTATAAGTGATGGAATACTGGCTAGACACGAAGTGGCGTTGCCATGCCCTGGAACACCTCTAATCCAATCGATCCAACACCACCCAAGACTCCTGCGAGCAAAAGGAGCACGGCGATGACGATAGCTTCGATACTGCCCACCCCTCCCAGCAGTCCGCCTCCTTCAGCTCGCAAGCCAGTCATCATCCCCATCGTATCTTCTGCGGCCTTGTGAACCACGTTGTCCTCACAACCCGTTAAGGACGTTCAAGCCTTATCGCAACCAATATATGCACTAGCAACGAATGCGACATTAACCACGCATACTAGATTAACGCCGCAAACCACTACCACCAAAAATCCGGCAGCAGGAAGCCCACCATCACGCACACTCGCCGCACTCAAGAGAGACCTCCACATTAATAGCTAGTAATGCGGCGCCCAGACGCTCAGGGATACAGAATGCAAGCGCTTTGTGATAGACGGCAACAAGGACTTCATTGATGCGCAGCTTTTGTGCACGACGGGCCTGACGCGCGCCCCTCCGGACTTTGAACCCGCTGTACTCAAGCTCGTCATGCTGTTACACTGCCACTAGCACGATGCGGGCCGACCAAAGGAGCGCCGAATGAGTTGCCTACGGCAACGAGTGAGCGTGCGAGGGGAGTATCGGTGGATGGAAGGTGTAGAATTGCGAGAAAACGCTTCAAAAGCTCATCAAGCAGGAAATATACTTCGACAACGCCAAGCTCGAGTTCTTACTCAAGGTACTAGAGTGAAATAGAAGTTGCAACACCCACCAAAGCTCGAGGCAATTCGCGTGGGTCGCGGCGTAGAAGAAGAGTATCATGGCGGTATTGCCCTTGCCAGTGCCGCTCGGCGGCCAGACCTTTGCCAGCAACGCACCAAACGACCCTCAATATTCTCCAAGGGTTCAAAAAGATTCCCTGATTGCCATGGTTCTGTTGACGACAAAAAGGGCCATCCTCGTCGTGCAGGCCTTGCCGAGCCCACAAGCTTCACCAGGCCACACCATTAGCCCAGACGCCGACCCGGCATTGTACTGGTCCAAAGCCTACAACTCTAGCTGCTTCAATATTATCCAACATACCAACCATGACGCAAGTCCTACACGCTCGCACAAGCTGATCCGCGCCGAAATCAACAGACACTAGATGCCTGTGATCTTCGTGACAGGTATACCTACTCCTAAGAAGTCGAGGTCAACGAAGGCTACGTCAAGATCGGGTATACCACGCGTTCCGTAATGAAACGGCACGATGATTGGTCGTTTGACTGCGACAGGCAGACCAAGTCGCTATACTCTTCCCCCAGTCAAGCCGCTGCTACCATTTCAAGTGCAAAAGATGCCGCAGCGGCGCCGGCCGCGTGGAGGCCTTGTGTCACGCCGAGCTCGATCATCATGGCATCAGGATGTGCTGCGGCGCGTGCCTAATACGGTCCATCGATTGGTCCAAGGTATCGGCTAGAGGAGTCACGGCCGTCGTCGAGAAGTGATCAAGGTGGATGGTCACTCAGCCGTATGAGCTTCTGCAGCTAAGGAACAAATCCAAGCGGACGCTCAAAGCGAGCGAGGTACAACGAACGTTGAGATGCGAGCAGCCCATTTAAGAGATTGCGATAGTGCCCGCCCCACCGTAGAATGGGCGAAAGGGTTGAGTCTGGTCAATTCGTGTCCTTCGCGTCTAGGTTGCTCCTCGACGACAACCCTGCAAAGACGTGCGGCTAGGACAAATCATGCTTCTAATTTGCTCAAGCACTAGGCACATTGCTATGTCAAGGTCCTGTAACTTCTAGATGCTCTTCCAAAGAGACCGCCCGTTGGACGAAGGTTAGGGGACTTCACGGGAGGCGGCGGGAAAATGGCGCCCTCGAGATACTGAACGGCAAAATCGCCGCCCTCGCGGATGAGTTCCTTGAATACGTCCTTGCTGCCTAATTCTCTCGCGTGAACCTTCGCTACCTCAACTACAGCAGATCGCATCGCGCAGTCGCTCTCAGGCGTAGTCGCATATATTTCTCGAATGCAATCTGGAAAGGAGTCGCTTTTCCAGAGATCTTGTAACTTTTGCTGAAGTTTTGCCGTAGCAATTGCTTTCAAGTCCCTCAAGAAGAACACGTTAGCAAGCGCGTATACTCGAGGCTCTTTGAGCAGCGCGGGATCATCTGGTAGCCGTTAAAAAATCGAGCGCCTAGGCAATAGAGTCCGTACCTTCTGAAACACGCGACAGCTCGTCCGAATAGTCGCCAGTGTACAGGTACTCAAACACCCTCCAGTGAGCAGCTTCACTACCACTGTTGAATGTGAGCACCCCCGAGCTTCCCTCAACGAATACATCCTGGAATGCCTTCTCGAAGTATTCGCTTTGCGTGCAGATGATGGATTTGTGAACAGGTAGTGTTATGCCATTCATAAGGACTGTAGCGTCGGAGTATCTCGTGTCGTTGAACAAGCTGTGCAAGTTAGGCACAGTTGCGCGGATCTAGAGGCTGCGTACCTGGCGATGTCCCGCGCCAATTTCATTGGGCGTGCTTCCATCATGGCGACAAGTTGCTGGCACGCTCGACTGATAACCAAGAGCCAGCTGTTGCTAAACTGCCCGCGCGATTCTGCTTATTCTTTCCTCCCCCTCACGCGGGTCCTAGCCTTGCCTCTCTGTGATTATGCTCTTCGACGTTTGAGTTCGGCTTTGTCTGGCATTGAGAAGAATAGATAACCTAGCAGCCACGTACAAGAACGCGGTCGCAATGTATGGATGTCAACCGTGGCTAGTCAGGTAAAGAATGGGCGGAGGAACTTGGGGATAGAGCGATGTACTGTTCGCGTAGGCAAGGTGGCATCATATACCATGCGCGTTGGCCTTTCGCAGCCGATGCAGAACGGCTTGTAGCGTCAGCCACAATTATGTCATTGGCTCCTGGACTATGTAGTGCTGTTGCTGTGTCAATAAAAGCATTAAGATCACATAGATTGGGTTCTAGCAGATTTCAAGACAGCATTAAAAACTTGCCGATCGTCTTGCCAAAGCGGCTGCCGTCGACTGCGATAAGACCGGTATATAATCAGGCGTAGGATGTAGCGCAGTCAATAGTCTAAGGCGCATGCAAGGGAAATAGGGACGACAATGTCACATGCTTTCCATAATTATACCTATCCCTAGAAAGTTGTCAGCTACACCTAGAGTGAATTTGTAGTATAACTCGTAATAACTTACTCGGACAAAGTCTGCAATGTCCTGCATCGACGCGACAGAAGCTACACCACGGGGTTGGCGGATTCGAGGCGTCTGCTAGCCAAGACCGATCAAGAAGACGACGAATCCATGTCGTGGCTTGCGGCTGGGCGGGTACGCTAGCCAATGCGTTGCGAGGCGAGCGGCCGTATGTACCGGTAGCTGTCTCCTGCAATTTGATGAGTCACAAAACCATCATACGCGTTGTGTAAGCTACGATGCGCATGTCAGCGTGCTTGACTGCAGCAATCCCAAGCCATCGCGCCTATTGTGTTGAAGCCTGTGTTTCTTGCCAACGTTGATCGGTGTCCAGCCGATGTTAGGACAGAAAGAAAAATCCTAGTGATTCGTGCATTATCCTACTGTAGAACCCTGTTTATTGAAACAAGAGGGTGATGCAGAGAGTAAGTTAAGATTAGAGTAAGCTATTACGTGTCCACCTACGGTACTGATCCAACACATCATATATGGGGTACCAGCGGGTTAAGAAACATGATCAGTCAGTCCTATAGTCTGGGCTGCATACCCCGCACACAGGAGCCACTGAGCGTTCACCACGCTATCAAACAATAAGCACTAGTTGCTGGGCATGATGAACAACAAAGGAAGGCTTGCAGAACGGCTGTACGACACGACGATTCGAATTTTCGCTTAAACGTCGGGTCGCGAAGCGCATCAACAAGCGAGATCGTCGTTTAGTTCGAGAACGGATGGTGAGGTGATATTACTCGCAAAGTGAGCTTCAAATTTCTGATTCTAGAGCAATAGAAAACAGCGATCGTGATAGACACAGAAGGTTTAGTTGATGAGGAAAGGCCAACAGCTGGGGTTATATGCGTACCGAGTGCAACTCCCGGGTAAGCCGGTCTCCTAAGGGTTGTTTGCCAAACCTTGCAGCGGCTTGCAGTGCATTTAGGATTATTTAGAGTGCATGGAATGCAAAATTCATTGCAGATCCTGATCGTTACGTTGCTTACTCACACTAGATCATAGCCAATGTAGAGTGAGTCTATATACAGCGAGAGCTATAGCATTCCAGCCTTACGTTCAATTTACGCCTGATGTGCATTTCCACCTAAGACGGCAGTCGATATGAACACATCGAAATCGAATCATCTAGCAAGCCCAGCTCTACTTCGCAAGATAGACCAACTTCGCGAGAAAAATGTTGGACAACACGTTCCCCTTCCACAGGTAAGCTGCCAAGGTTCTTCTATTGCTCTCCTCGTTAAGCCGCATATAGCTCGTTGTCGTTGGCGACCAAAGCAGTGGTAAGTCGTCTCTTCTCGAAGGCTTGACAGGCGTTCCGTTCCCTCGCGACCTGGAGCTTTGTACACGGTATGCAACACAAATCACATCCCGCCGTGACCCCGAATCTCGAGTGGATATAAAGATCATTGCTGGCCCTCATGCTTCTGATGATCACAAGAGACTTGTCGCCAGTTATCGTCCAGAAATTCCACCAACGGAAGACTTTCGCTCTCATCTGCGAGAAATTCTAAAGGAAGTAGGTTTGACCTGAAATTATACTTCATAGCCTGCTACGATTACTGACTATTTGAACAGGTGAATGCTCGAATGGGGATTCGAACCGACCTTACTTCGTGCGAAGGAACCGTTTTCAGCGAGGACATTCTGAAAATTGAGATATGCGGTCCTGGTGAGGACTATTTAACAGTGATCGATGTACCGGGCATTTTCCGCAACCCGAGTGAGGGAATCACAACCAAAGCTGACATTCAGCTTGTCCAAAATATGGTACGAGGCTACATACGGCATAGCCGTACGATCATCCTTGCCGTCCTACCCAGCAATGTCGACATTGCCACTCAGGAGATCCTTACAATGGCAGAGGACTTTGACAAGAGCGGAGAGCGTACTCTAGGTGTATTGACAAAGCCCGATTTGGTAACAGAGCAAAGCGCGCAAGTTAACATTTGCAATCTGGTTCTAGGAAAAAAGAGACCACTCACACTTGGATACTATATCGTCCGGAGCCGAGGTGCGGATGATGTGGATGCCTTCAATCTTTCGGAAGCGGAAAACATGTTTCTCAAGACACCTTGGAGCACACTACCCAAAGATCGCCTGGGTGCAGTCGCTCTGAAAGCACGACTCTCTGAGCTCTTGGGTCAGATTACCCGAAAGGAATTTCCGGAGCTCCTAAAAGATGTTCGCAAGCAACTATCTGACTGCGAAGAAGATATGAAAGACCTCGGTCCGGCGCGCCAAACAGAGAAAGAGCAGCGACTGTTTCTAAGTAGTCTAGCAAGACGTTTCCAGAAGCTCGTCGAAGCTGCTCTAAGTGCGCGATACTCTTCTCACGCTATCTTCGATAAAGTAGAGCCTAGAATCATTACATACGTAGCCAATCTCACCGAAACATTCGGTTATGACTTTGCGCGGAAGGCACATCTACGACATTTTGAAACGACTGAGTCGAATGAGGAGGAGGAGGAAGACGATGAATCAGACAAAGATGTTGAAGATGACCTGTCGGAGGATGCAAATGCCCGAGAAAGGGCTATTCTTCTTGAAGACATTGACTTGGATGAGTACAGCGTCCTTGATAATATCATCAGCAAGGACAGCGATATCGAAAACCCTAGAAGCGGCATAACGAGCTGGACCGAGAAGCTTTATTTGCAATCTCGCGGCGTGGACTTGGGTATTTTCGGCGGAACAATCCTTTCCAGCGCTTTCAGGGAGCAGTCCGACAAATGGCCATGTATGGCCAAGATGTACGTTAGCCGTGTCATAGTGGTCATCCACCGTTTCATGATGATTGCTCTAGACACGCTTTGTGCAGACTCATGCGTTCGGGAGGAAATATGGGCTTCAATCCTCGACGAAGTGCTTACGAAATACAAAGCAGCATTACATCAAGCAACATTTCTCGTTTCTTTGGAGAGAGACAAGAAACCATACACTGTAAACAACTATTTCAACGAGAATCTTCAGATCGTTCGCGGAAATAGAAAGGCAGCTATGTTGAAGGCAAAGTCTCGACAAGAGATCAAGAGAGGGTTCCACAATTCCGCCCAGGTCTCTGACAATCTCATCGTGGACCTTGAGGATGTCAGAAGCACGACCATAAACAAAAGCAACGTTGATCAAGTCAAGGAAGAAATCCACGACATCTTGTGGTCTTATTACGAGGTGGCTAGGAAACGATTCGTCGACAACGTCTACCAGCAAGCGGTCGATCACTGCTTACTCACCGGACCCAGAAGCCCTCTTGCTGTGCTTACACAAGAATGGGTTATTGAACTGGACGGTGAACGGCTGGAGATGATTGCAGGGGAATCATCATTGACAAAACAGCAGCGAGTGAATTTGTCGAATAAGATTGAAGATTTGGAAGCCGCATCGCGAATCCTCCAACGCTGATAAGGCGTATCGCTTCGAAACGAACCCCCATTTAGCAGTAACAGTTAAGTCTAGAATAACTATGGGTTACTCTTCCGTTGAATACGCTGGCCATTGGAGTCTGGCATGTAACATCTTTCGATAACATCGATGTTATTCTATCCATAATTCCCCTGACCTAGTAGCATGCTGGTGCTAAGAAGTGAAGGGATTTTCTTTCACTATGAATTCCATCTATACCGATTTGCTCCACTCTTTGATTAATTGTCCACCTGAATATAAGCGTATCATGTGTGGGTTACATCGCACAGATGTTATTTTTCTAATCGATAAGATCCGGTACTTCCGAGAAAGGGTTACAGAGTTACAATCGTTCCAACTAGACCTGATCTACATGGAGAGATGAATCAGGCCTAGTATATGACGCTACGTGAATCCACTCCCGATGTATCTTAGACAGTCGTCGCAAGGGCGGGTGTGGGTATTGTAGATGGAATATTAGGAGGGCGTGTATGCTGTATTGATTGTAGCGTCCCAGTTGAGCTCATACAAAGGTCATCGCACGACGTTATTAGTAACAAGATTTTCGACAGCGCTTGGCTTGGACACCGGTACTCACATCCTTCGGGCTGGAGACAAAGGCAGGAAGACGGTGGGGTGACGGCGCCTTGGCTTCGCCCCCGCTTCCTTTTCTCAGCCTGTGTCTCAGCAAGCGCACTACCTCACGAACCTCAAGATTTTTTCCATTGCGATTAAACAGCTTGCCATCAGACTGCGTTTCACTTGACATTCTTCCACTCATTCTTCGTACTTCACCGACCGAACTTATCGTCAAAAGCAGCCATCACCATGAGTGACTTGCCACCCAGATGTGCCCATTGCAACAAATCAGCCACTGAATGCAGTCTGGCAAATCTCCAACAATGTTCAAGGTGTAAAACCACGGAGTACTGCGGGCCCGACTGTCAGAAAGCCGACTGGAAGACACACAAGAAGACTTGCGCTCAACAAATCGATACCAGCGCTGACGACCCACCTAACGCCATCCACCGTACCAGCTACTCAGCACCTCGCCTCAAGACTCTCGAGCAGCACGTCCCAAATCCCTTCACTCTTCTGGATGAAGGGACATATCTATGCCGTCGACCTGAGAAAGACGTTTACAGACTACTCATCGACGCATTCCGCATGCGCTCAGAGGACGACATGAAACTTGAAGACAAACCTATGCCCGACAGCATTTACACTGGTACATCTTCAAGCATTAGGCCTTTCAAGAAGTTTCTCTCTCTGGCAGACACCAGGGAGGGCTTGCTGCCACCATGGTGGACCGCCGAACACCACCGCGGGTGCGAGAAGTTTGCTGAGAGCGGGGAATGGAACGACGTGAGAAAGAAGGTCACTAAGGCTCAGATGATTTAGCATTACGGGGATGATAAAGCACCGATGCAACTACGAATGCTCGCCGAAGCCGTATATGGGGTAGGACCGATGGGTCAGAACGGTGCAGGGATGCGGAGGCTACTACGTGAGATGGAGTCAGGTGACTCTGGAAAGAGCTATTTTATGAATATGATAGACATCAGTCAGCTCACGGGTGGTGGTGGTCGAAGGTGAATCATTTGAGAAAAAGCGTCCCTTCACCTGCCCGTGCAGACTAGACGTGTTTAATCTCACTAGATACGTTTTCGGAAAGTACTGACTATTCACGGTGCAATTTCTATATCTTATCGTACATCTTCGCTCTTCTCATATATACAACACCAAAATGTGGCAACATATCACTAGTGATGATCCCCATCTAGAGAGAGCAACGTATTGGCAAGCGACCAATGCAACGTCTTACATCTCGCGGGAGTAGATCCAAGAAGTCATTGAGCGTGTCTTTAGCGTCGATGATCCACGATATATTTCTCAAGCTTGTGACTCGCCTTTCCCTTCTTCAGTTCGTTCTTCTCGGCTATCTTAGCTTTGCCACTAGTTCTTCTATGTTCTTTTCCCTTCCTTCTTCGGCTTTTCTTGGCTGTCTGCGCATCTTTCCCAAGGTTCCTGCGAGCTTGTTCAGCTTACGAACCCTCTCCTTCTGCAACTCTCTCAGCGTTCTTGAAGCCGCACGGGTCTGCTTCGCCACCCTAGTTTCTCTTCTTCGATGAAACTGCCATTCGTTGCAGAGCTCAACAGCCACAGCTCCAGAATGGTAACAAAACTAATACAGGTAAGAGATACCCTCTAGAGCAATGTGATAGCACTATAATTCTGTAGCTTAGCACGTCGTATGTGCCCTTCCGGAGGCGAGATGATGGACTCAATTCTTATCAGCTAGGTGGGAGACGGAGACCGACTACTTTAACCATGCTATCCAGCAAAAGTGTTCGTCACGTTCAGATTTGTGGCTATCGAGAGCGGTAGCGGGTCATCCAGCCTCGGTGCTTCTAGTTGAGGACAGATCACGCAGCCAATTGACTGTGATGCTAATGATAGAGCGAGAAGGAGCAACTCAAAACTGATTGTAACTACCATGAGGATATCTGCCCTGCCTAGACTTGTTGAGCGCGTGTATGAAAAATTACGAAAGGTCCCGATCGACTACTGGCATCGGAAGCAGCAATCTTTACTTGGAGCACTTGAGCAACCCAATCATTACCATAGCAGAGTTGAAGCCCGATCACTACGAAAGATGCAAGCTTCTCGCATTGTGTAGAAGCAGGAAGATTGCAACACCGAATGATTGAAGCAACAGAAGGCTGCCGCGATCGAGGCTTGGAAAGCACCAAAGCCGATCAAAGCGTACAAGACCAACGCGAGTCATCAGGCGTGACAGGAAGTGAGGTTTCTGGGAGAAAGGAAGAGAGCTCAAAAAGCTGCCGAGCGGGTAGTTGGTCAAACGACCCGAACAGGGGCACAGCGACTTCGACAAGCCATCAAAGCCCTTCAACAGAGTAGGACAAAAAGCCCTCAAGCTCATACGAAGTCAAAATCGAGAGGTCTTGAATTAGTAACCGTTGTGGTATCGTGCAGCTATCCGCTCGCTCAGCGAGCCCGCCTCGAATCCAATCTCGATTTGGACGTAATATCGAGTTACGAGCTACATGAGAGCAGGTGACGGCCGTTATATCATTTTCAAGTCGGCACGTAAAAAACACTGGCGGCAATTGCGATCGGGCGCTGTTTCACAGGCTGATTCTTGTGGTGGTTTTGGTAGGGCAAATCAGGCATTACCCTATCTGAGGCATTACCTTATCCAGCACAGCATCAGCAGGCGAGATCAGAACGATCAAACTTTAGCAACATAGATCGCATAGCAAACTTACTAGCCTTAAACGCCCGGTCTTTTTCCGCTTGAAAGCAAAATTGTGCATACCCGTCAAGGTCTTCGAATGCTTGTCATGAAACATCCTGTCCCTTTAGGTAAATGTTCGCCAATATAGTATTTTGCCTCACAGTTCGTCTCTGGTAGTGTGAACCCAGATCGAAGAAGCACAAAGTCTTGTCGACTACGGTTTTCGTCGAAGCACCGGCTTCTCCAGCCTTCTACTAGCCTGTGAAGCACACTTCCTACAGAGAATCCTGCTTTACGCGCTAAGCTGGTATTCACGTAGTAGCTGAACACGGGAACGACGCATAAGAGATGAATCCTCGTAGGATATCTTGCACAGCAAAGAAGGTTTTTTTAGTCAACTCTTCTGAGAGACCTACAGTGTATTTCATCAGTATCAAGTTGAGAACAACGCAGAAAACCTGTAAATCCCAGAGTCAATCATCTTCCAAGCAGAATTCCAACACTATCTCCAGAATCACTGACAAGATCTTCTGGAGGTGGTTGTAGAGACTGTGAAGTACCGTCCGTGATAACGTCGTCAAAGGTGCCCTCCAGAGATTCGATCTACTACCTTCCTCGACCACCGCGTGGACTGGAGAAATTCCCGAAGGCTCCCAAGCGTGTAGATGTTTTATGAGTCTGTGTTTCACTAAATTCTCAGCCGGTATGCCTAGAGAGTCACTTGCTTCTTCTACAAATTGCTCTGCTTGCTCAGACGTGACACCAGTGAGTGAATCGGGATGCCAAGCCGTACGTGCGGTCTTGCCATGAAGTTGTTGCAGAGCTTCCTTTCGAATTTCCTGATTCATGGCATTTAGGATATCCCGCTGGTGGTTTGCACTGAGCGATCCGACTGGTACACTGAGATCAGGTGGCCGCCAATTTAGGTAGATTTTGTTATAAGACACAGGCTCTACTACCTGTTTTGGATGATGTCGAAGTACAGCAGGCAACAGTAACACGCCGGTTTACTGCAGGCAACGTACGGGTCATCATATGCAAAATGTATGTCTTGTGCATAGAAATGTTCCAAGACTTGGATTTCGGCGTGAACACAAGAAGTCCGACCAGGCCTAGCGTAATTGTCCATGAAGCGGCTGAATAGCTGATGATGAGCTTCCATATCTGTGAGAGCCTGCTGATAGAGCTCAAGTTCGGGACAGTTGGCTGGTAACATGCGTTTGAGGACTTTGTCCAGTCTTGTCAGCTGGTCCGGTGGAGGCATAGCAGACTTGGCTGGGGCAGGGACGCTGCAAACCTCGTAATCGTGAAACAAGTAAAGAAGACTCGGTGCACATGAGACTAACGTATCGGCTGCTTGAAAATGATAGCCAAGCCTCCCAATGTAGTGTCTGATCATGCCAAAAACCGTGTGTATTGCGTCTCTACTGCTCCCATAAGCGGGCTCTGCGCTGAGTCTACCAAGGACACGCATGAAATTTGATTTTCGACTTGCATGTGCAGAGCGGCACAGATCTAAGAGACTGTTCGTATGCTCCCATTCTTGTAACCATTTGAGGAGACCGGGTTCTGTAGCAATTTTGAGTATAAGCGAGGAGTGTACAAACACTGGACTAAACTCACCAACCACTTGCTTTGTCCTAGCAAGATAAGACACACTTTTTCGAAGTAAAGATTCGAGATGGCTCCTGTATTTCCTAATCCTTGGAGTTGCGAAAGCAATGCACTGCAATGCCAGTCTCGCAGCGTGGTCTGCAGTATCAAGGGAAGTAGACGCATCAACGACTTGTGTCAGAAGTAACCGTAGAAATTCAATCATCTTCGTTTTCGGACCCGCATTGGACGCAATCCAGAATATGTGCTTCTGCGGGGTAGACTGCAGTCCAATCGCTGTCACGGTCTCACCGCCTTTGTCGTAGTCGCACATATACGCCAATTCACTCAAGAAGATCCTCCTGAGGTCCAAAAGGGGCAGACGTGCAATGCTTTCCCGTGAGGGTGTTGCAAAGTGCACGTGATCTCTCCTCGTAGGCCCAAGCGTATACAGCAGGACGAGGGGTTCGAAGAATCGGCTGAGCAGACGTTCTTGCGAGTTAGTGCGTGGACGCTTGGGCGATACAGAAGCCGTCATGGGGCGTTTCTCCGAGACTCTCTTCCGTTTCGTCATTCTCGAAACAGAGCGCGTTGAATGATCGGAGAATTAGAAGTGTGCGAAGGCGCAAATGTAGCTGGGTGAAGTGATCAAGTGAAAAACTGACGACGTGGCGATGGATGGCGTCATGCTAGTCTGACGGTCGAGCCGCCCGAACACTACAACTTTGAGACCGGTGTAACCTCAACGCGTCATAACCCCAGCTCCACAGGTCCGATGCAGGAAGCAACCAAGGAAATCGAATCGTGTGCTATGGTCAACACACTGAACTGTTCACGAATGTGTTCCAGAACTAAGCAAACGCAGTGAGGATATCGCTTTACAAACGGCGACGCTAACCTAAGGTGGGCATTGCGATAACTCATGTTCGCAAACAGCCAAATACAGCTTAGCGCGGCATATATGACATCAAAGATCGCCATCAGTGCACCACCGAGATATTCTCATTGCTCCGGTATTCTGAACGTGCCATCGATTGTTTTTTCTCCTAGAACGTTTGTCTCAAGACGATGGAGGAGTTTTCACCCAAACTCTCTGCATCCGGCTGGGACCTTGGTGCCATCAGACCTCATCCCACAACTGGCTTCAGCGGCACGAACGACTCACATCAAGTACTCCCGCTCAGCGTCCGTTATCTTCATATCATGATCATAGACTGCGAGGATACTATGCGATCTGATCAGTAACAAACATTACAACTTTCATGATGCCATGTTAGCCATCGGAATGCATACGCGGAATCGGCTATGCTGGTGCCCTAACCACTCGAACAAATTACCGTTAGAGCAGAGCGGGCTCAAGGGTATGATTCTGGAAAGCAAATTGCTTTGAGTGGAATGGAAATCACTAACGCGAAACTTCACCCATAGCAACATGGTGCCCTGTCACTTCCATAGCTCTCTATCGACACTATCGCTTTTGCCGTGGCTATGTTTTACCATGTCCGAGTTACTCTGATCATTCACATTGAGCATCAGAAGATCTGTGTCGCACAGTCGAGTGCAGGTGTCATAGACAGGTTAGTTTGAGGGAAATGTATGTTTTTTTGCTGAATGTGTCATCATAGCTCATTCTATGTGAAGGTCGCCGCACGGTGTAACCAGTAAAGGTCTGAAGGATAGATCTAGCAGGGACTCTGGAGGCTTGCAGCCAGAAGTCCTCTTTCCCTACCACGTCACGCCTGACGTTCTCTAACCTCCTGTTGCGAACGAAGAAAAGCGACAGCTGCTTGTATACTACTTACACAAGCCTCATCCTCGGTGATGCATCCTTGGGCTTCAGCAATCATGATCCCTTCGACTCTGACGCTGGATATAAAGATTTCACGCTCGTCGCCCGAATACACCGGTTGGATGTCGATATCAAGCTTCAAATAGCCGATCAGGCCTTGTAATTCATCTCTCGGATACATAACGTCCAAAGTTTTCTCGCCATACGTGCGGCGTAGTATCTCAGACCGATGCGCTCGAAAAACTTCTCGCATTCTGAAAGCTCGCTCTGTGAACCAGCGAGTATCGCACCAAAGAAGCTCTCCACCAGATCGGAGTAGAACTTTTCAGGGTCCAAGCGGGCCAACAGTTTCCACAGATATGTCGCACCGTAGCTGAGGAGATTTTGTATTTCAGCACCGCACTGTTCAAACGTGTGGCTAGCGTTCTTATGAGCTTGTACCACGTCTAGAGAATGGTGACGCATGGACTGCCATAGTGGCACTTTCTCGCGATATCGCACCTCGCGTGGGCGGTGATTTGAACCCATTTCGATGCGGACTAGATTTCTGTCCATGCTGAAGTGAAGACAAAGATAGCCGAGTACATTCTTATTTCTACGAGCTGCTTTGATGCGAGTCATCTGTCCTTGGGATAACTCAGATAGGCAGCGCGAGAGAAAAGCGAAGATGAGCGCATCCAGGACTGCATCTCCGGGAGCTCAAGCTTCTGATAAGACTCTGTCTTAGCATCGATGCCACAGAAATGAAGACGTTGTTGCATGCTCTCGCCGCTCTGAAGCCTGAGTCGATGTATACTGATGAGCCCTTCGGGTACTCTATGATATCATCATCTGTTACCTTCCCTATCTCGAAAAGTCTCCATTCGTGTATACCTCCAAGAGTCAGAGCTTACACGGTGAGGAGAACAGTTTTGCCGAAACCGTGAAGTAGTTCACCCTGATAGTTGTCCGAGATATCAAAGAACTCAGCGTACTCAATATCAGTTAGAATCACGATCTTACATCACAGTCACGGATTTTTCCACATCGGCTATGAATCCACTCACATCTTGTCGGTGATACCGAAATCTGTACTGACAACTCTCTGACAAGACACTTATAAAGCTCTCAGCGAATCCTGTTTTCCTCAAGGTTTTCTAAAGTGGCCTGTAGCATCGACCTTGCGGCGTGTCTCCACCTTTTCTCTGTCTGCCACGATGCATACTGCAATTTGCACGCCTCCATCGAGCTCATATTGGCGAAGTCATCACCTATCAAAGGCAAAGTAGTCAGATGTTCTTGTCAGATATTGACTCTTATTTCATTTGTTCGAACTTCATGTCGTGGAATGATGATTGTGAATGATACATCTTCATAACAGCCTTAATGTGTGCATGGTCGCTGCGCTGTTCCAGCACCGAGTTTACAGATAGATAAGCCCAGGTGTTTATATTTACTTATTTATATACATATAATATTATGTATTTGAAGACTTGAACATAGAGTATCTGAGAAAAGTTGTTCGTCAAGGCTCGGCGAATTTATCCTCGGTGATTGCTTGTATTGATCATGGCTATACTGATCGTATGCTCCGCCACCCATCACGGTCGCGCGAGTTGTCTTCCTAGTTATGAACGTATGTCTATGGTGCTGGTTGACAGCGTAAGCAACGCTTTGGGTATATCTTTCAAGTCTTCTACGCCTGTAAGACTGGGTGGAGGACCTATATAGTGACCTTGGTGGAAGGCCGCAAGTGTTGACAGAATCGGCGCAACAGCACCGCTTAGATTCCTCAAAAGCCGGCCCTGCCTTTTGTCCAACAATATGACGAAATCAGTGAGATCGTTCTTGTTAATATTGGAGAGCCTATTTCAATTAGCCAAGTTAGCAGTGCTGTAGCAGATAGCGCATTCACATGTGATCTGTCAAAGAGAAGCAAGGAAAAGACGGTCCGGAAGGTAAGAGGGCTAACACGCCGATTCCAAAGGGCTTTGTCAATATCTGCAGTCGTTTGCCTAGTTGTCGAAAACGTTTGACTTTGGAATAAACTGTAGAGTATTCCCTGGACGTGTCTTCTACACCGGGGGCAATCTTGGAAACCAGATACTTGATCTCGGCGGCATCTCGCAGCACCTGAGGATTTCCTTTCTGAGCATTTCCGACCGCAAAAGTCTCCATAGTCTCTAGATGCATGCTTTCATCTGCCTGAGAGAATCTCTGCCCTTCTTCTAAAAGCTGTACGGCGTAATAGCGTTTCAAGAGGATACAAGTGGTCCGCTCGCAGTCAAGTCGACACATCATATCGAATACCATCGAGGCAGTCGAAGAACCAGGGAACGGAAGGACAAATGACCGCCGCGCTTCCCTGGCATTTTGAAGCTGACTTGCAAAGTCGGCAAGAGTATCCCAGCTACCAACTGCCAAGTACAAAAAGTGGAATAGATGACACGGATCCTTGAGTTGAGTGGTTTGTGGATACTCTAGGTGTCTGAGTAGTTCGGTACGCCCTGGTCCTGGATACGCATCAATCTTCCCTCGTTCTGCGTCAAGCAATGACTCAAGTACTGCGCTGGCTTTGTCACTTTCGGTTTGGACACGTTTGGTCTTTCTCTGCGAAGAGCATGCGAACTGTGTCCCCACCAGGTCCCTTAGACCCTTGCCGGCCAAGGCTCGTTTCGACGCTGTGATAGATACGCTGGTATCAGCTGCACCAGGGATTGTCGGCTCTATGACTGTTTCCTGCTCGACCGAGAAAACAGATTGTGCGCCCATACCCTGACTGCTAGACGATAACGAGCGCAATATGTTTCGCTGGTCGTCACCTTGAATATTGTGCTCTACGGTATCATATCTTGGAGAAGACTGTTGCTCCGAAAAGGACTGCTGGGGCGGCGATTGTCTGGCCGCGAGATCGTCGAGACTTTCCGAGAAAGCGTCTGGTGGAAACACAGTAAATGATTCGTACGTTTCAAAAGTAGCTGAAGCTTTTTCCGTGTCTAAGTCGCTTCCTAGATTGCTGTCCAATATCTCGTTTGTCGCTGATCTCGTTGAAAAGACTGATGCATCATCTGCAGCGATAGGGAACCCAACTTGATCGCCACTCGCCGTCGTAGACAGATTAAGAATGGACTCGATCTGACTCAAAATTCCCGAAACCGTATCACAAGTGTCGTTGATGTTTCTGTTTTGAGCTTGACAGTCGAGCCAGACTGCACCGATCACAGCATTGAGTGCGTAGTTCAACACTTCCGGGGAAAGCACTTGTCCGATCTGTCGATCACTCCGGACGATATGGAACTCAAGTCCCAAGGCTTCACACGCTTTTGCGACTTTTTTCTTGTCTTTCCACCAATATTTACGACGATTGATGTCAGCTGCGCGTGTTAAGATGTGGTAGCTTGTCCACCTTGGGAGACTGCTTACTTAGACGTGCCTTCTCGACCACAACAGCATAGCAGGTTTCTGCCATCTCCACGGCTATTTGTCCAATTCGGGCCATCCCCCGATTACCATCATGCGCAATGCTGTTGTCTCCGCTTCTGTGGGCTGCAACAAAAGCGTTGACAAGATAGTCATCGTGTATGAAATCATAGCCTATCTTGCGTTGTACGGATTCCATGATCATTCGCAGCTGCTGAGAGACGACGAGAAAAGAGAAGCATGGTCGAAGACAGCCTGTAGAACGCTTATCTATCATTACCCAGTCGCGTGGTATAGCTTGGCGTCTGAGCATAAGTATGATACCACCATCCGTGAAGTAGCCACGATGACACAATAACGCCAATCGAACACTCATTTGAAAGACACACCAAATGGAAGCCGCTTTTTTGAAAATGTTTCCACTAATGAAATGTGGAAAGATCTCCTATGATTCGCGCTCGCCCGTCACGTGGATTGAGACTGCTCAATCATAAGTCGCTGCATGGAGCGTCATGCGCAGCAATGATCATATGACGCTGCATTCCAATGACGTGCTACACCAATACAGGGCGATTGTGACTGGCCAGAGGGCTGACCGTCTTTGGAAGATCAACTCTATTTGTCTCATCCATGTAGCTGCGAACTTGAGGCAGTTGTCTTTGACAACCAAGGCGGGCAGAGGGTCGATGAATCGATCGGTAGGAGCCTCTGATGAACGCCATTAAAAATCTCGCTTTGTGGCTGGGTGCTGAAAACCGGTCCCTTGATTGGTTCTGTGCGGAAGGACCCCGTAAGCCACTGTAACACCACGGCTTTCCGCATGCATACACCGGTGCGCGGTCCCACCATCGCCGATGCGATAGCATTTGTGCAATCATCAGACATCAGCGGCGCAAATGTTCAAGGTGCATTGCATGAAGTCATTTTTGAAAGTATTAACTTACCTCACAATAGCATTGTGGCCACAAAGGCCAGATACGCAGTTTGACGGACTCTTTCTAGCATGCAGGGCTGGCAAAGGGAGAAATCTCACAACCATGTGCCAAGAGCCGCTGACCAGATATCGAGATAATGTGAATCATGGCATGCAAGTGCTTGCAAAGGCTTTTCCATGGAGATACAGTCTGAGTTTTTATCATCACAAATACCCACTGGGAGGAGCAGCTGGTCGCATCGATCGCGCTTCGATGTACGTTGGAGGAGTTGTTGGGGGAAGGCTTGCTTGATACAGTCTAAGCAACTGTGGCTACAATTTGCCGAACAAAAGTAGCTGACTATCGACTGGTCTTTGTGTCAAAAAGGGGTTCGTGTCGAGATGTGTCTGGTGGTATCAACAACCATTTTTTGCGAAGAAATGTCATATTGGTCAACTTTTCGTTCGAAGAAGCGACAGGATTATTTGAAACGACTATTGCCGGAAGATGGTGTATCGGGGGTTTCACATGCCGGGATTGGTACGGAATCTGTTTGAAATGCATCAAATCTTCTGTGCTGCTAACCACTTTCTCAACCTTCCGATTGACGATCTATCACTCAGAAGTCGCATGAGCGGCTATATAGAAGGTTGTTGGCTGTTGTGAAAGGATCCGCCTTAGACCATCGAGTACTCGCAATTGGAAGAAAGATACGATGAAGACATCGAGGAGCGTAGATACCTCTAGATTGAGTGAGCATTAAGTAAGCCAACATTTCATCCGGCTTGAAACATTTGGAAGCTAAGACTTTATCGAGATGTAGTCAAAGAGAATCAGATGGTAAAGGACACAGATGCGTAAATTCAGCTGGAAACTGTTGCAGAATAACCCTCGGGAAGGCTTCGAGGCTTGATCATGCAACACGGATAGATTCAGAGAGAAACAGGCTCCATATACAACCTGCTCTTCTCGTTCTCTATAAACCGGCTCACCAGTGCTACTCTCTGCCCCAAATCTTTGATAGCATGGGACAGGACGCTGTATGGAATGCCACACTCCCTGAGCAGATCGAAAAACGCTCCATTCAATGCTTTCCACTCTGAAGCGTCCCGATACGCTATTCTGATACTGTCTGCACTTAGCCACTCTACATTGCCAGCCT